TACATTCACTTTATTCACTCGTGTAAAGTCGTGCACAACTAGGGAGAATTCGGAAATGCAACGGTTGGAACAGCTGCTTCCCTATGACTTTAAATCCTGCTGTTTAAAAACACTTTTGTAGAAGTTAGAGGATTAACTTCAGCTTTTTACTCCAGTAAAGGTGTAAAAGTACAATTTCTAAAACTACTTAAAGTATAAAATTAAAAGTAATGCAGCAAAAAAAAGTTAATGACAGAAGCTTTACTGCTCTTCCCTATTAAAGAAACATTTTTCTATAATTCTGGATGATAACTTCCTTAGAATTAATTTTCTTAGTTTTATAACTAATGGTAACAGTGTCACATTTAACTTTGCATCATCTTGAAAAATTATTTATTTTGGTCTGTAGTGAGCAACAAGTTGGGGCAGGACACCACAAAGAAATTAATTACCTGGATGAAACTAATTATTTTGATGGTTTTTATTTTTTTAAATACCAATAGGCTTTAATGAACAAAACTTAAATGATTAAAACTAACGAGTCTGTTTTAAACTCAAAGGAGTAGAAGTAAAAAGTTTTCTAAAAAATAATTAATAAAATATAAATAACCAAGTATTTGTACTTGGGGTGTAAATAGGCTGTAGAAATGCCTGACAATTGAGAATTTATAAAAAAAAAAAATAAAAGCAGATGTGCACAGCTGATGTGGTTAAATAGTTTAGTCTTTCATTGCAGGCGTCCGATCAATAGAAATGTCAGAATGAGGCTTTCTTTAGGAAACGCTGAAATACGCCAAACTGCTCGTATGGGAAAACGTTTACAGGACTTTAAATGAGAGGCTCCTGGTCAGCAGCTTTCTGCTGCCAACAGCCACCCACTTAAAACCAGCTGCTCATTAAGTCATCAGACTGTAGGAATCATCAAAAAGCTTAAACACAAGTAAAGTTGTGGGAATCAAATTAATTAGGCAGCATGGCTGCATGAGCCAGCTCTATTTCTACACTCAGTGTGACCATAAATACAAACGCTAGCAATCAGGAGCCGGGAACACGTCACAAACGCCACTTAGTAGCTTCATAATGCGGCTCAAGGCTCAGACTGGACTGGTTCTCCTCCCTCAGCAGTGTGTCCCAGTGAGTTTGTTGCAGATATTTTTGATTTATGCCCAATATTGAAGCGTGGTCTGCGCTATGTTATTCCACGCCACAACACCAGAGGGCCAATCAGGAACTAGCTGTGGGTCTACATACGGCCGAGGCGGTGAGGAAGTGGAGTCAAGTTTGAGCGACAACGGAGGGAAATGAGGGCCAAAAAGAACTGAGATCCAGCTGGAAAAAGGGTCCCAGCGTTCTCGCTCTTCTAACTGGTCCATCTTCACCAGTCGTTTTCCACAATGGCGGTCAGACAAACAAAACAAGCCGCTAAGGAACCAAACAGGAAACATGCAGAGAGTAGAGTGGCTGTAGATTTGACCAATCAGAGGCCTCCTCTCTGCGGTCACCTACGATTTGGAGAGGTGCAGCAGTGTGTCTGCGGAGGGGCAAAGACGGGCGTTCACTGCGACGCCGACGACCTGGTTTCTGACTATAAACCAGGCTTAACAGTTCAGAATGAAAACAACGTCCCATTCAAAACCAATGGCTCCAATTAGGGGCGGATTTAGGAAATGTGGGGCCCTAGGCAAAGACAGATAGGGGGCCCTCTGAAATGAGAAGACAACACATAGAACACCCATTATACAGATAGAGACATCTGTATGATGGAAAACAAGAAGAAAAGGGACAAGAAGAGAGGGACACAACCTAGAACAGATAATGAATGTCTATTCTATTAACATTTCTCTATCTGTAGAATGGGTCTGTTCTATGTGTTGTTTCTTCGTTTCGGGGGGCCCCCTGCCTGTCTTTGCCTAGGGCCCCAGGTTTCCTAAATCCGCCCTTGGTTAGACTGTTGTGAAAATAATCGTTATCAGCATTGGCCTTAAAAAAGCTGCATCAGTGGATCTCTAAAAGAGAGGCTAGAGTGAAGAAGAGGCGCAGAATGTCTCCCTCTGGTCAGATAGATGCTTTATGAACCTTTCAATCATCTGATTCTGATGGCAGCGCTTACTAAAGTTAGAGACTTTGACATTTGTCTGACATCCAGCATCCCACTCGCCTGCCCTCCCGGCACGCTGTACCGTATGTATTTATCCAGTGACTGTGCGGCATTTATCACACAGCTTAGTCATAATTAGTGCAACTAAGTCTGGGGCACCGAGCCTGTTGGCGGGCATATGTTCAGATCTGGTTAAAGACACGTTGATCCCTGAGGGGATGGCTCAATGTGGACATGTGTGCCTGTGAAGCTCTCTGTGGAGCGAACCCTGAGCCTCCATGAACACGCTGCTTCCCTGAGTGGCCCGCCCACGCTGAGAGAGGCCACTCCGGTCCTGTTCCAGAGTGTGCGGACGACGGCTCGGACGGGGGGGTTAAGAGACAAGCTGAGAGTCAGCTGCGGGCTTCACAGAGCAGCTGGCCTCCATGAATGCTGAAGACTTTAATGAAGAGCAGAACAAGGAGCGAAAGCAGAGACAGAACAGGTCTCCCTTCTTCAAACATGCTGCTGGATCAGGTCAGGATGGCAAACCTGTGAGGATCCCCCACCCTGATCCATGAACGATGGGAAAGAACAGATGTTTCTCCATCGCTCTGGAAGGACAGGAGGTTTGAGGACACTTTGAAAAAGTTTGTCTATCTGGTTTCTTCAGGATCTCTTAGTCGATCCTCCATCATCCAATCAGAGCTCAGATCGCAATAAAACTTTGAGCCTCATACTAACATGGTTGCCAAGGTAACAACACAAACACCAAAAAATGTCTTCTAATTGGTCTCTATCGGTTAATCAGATGAAACAACTTTTAATCTAATAAGAGATGAATTAACAATAAATAATAAGCAGGTATAATTATAATTTAACAAAACACAATGTTTGGTCGC